TGTACGTACAGAATTTAAAATTATTTATCATAATATTACTTAATATTATTAAGTTACAAAAATTAAAAACTTTTATTCCTTTATCATTATAAATATTTGTTTAGCACAATAAGTAATAGTCTTAGAGAAATATTAAGTTTAAACGGATAAGACAAGACTTTTGGAATTATAATATAATTATCAGATTTTAAAATGATAGTTACGTAAATTATTAGGTGGTTATGCTAGAAGGGCTATTAGAATGATCCTGACAAAACCAGTACATAATATACAATGTTATTATATTGGTTTTTTGCACTTTCAATGAAATAAAAATAAAAAAATTTTTTTTTACGTAAAAGTTTGAAATTCATATAAGCAGATTAAATATGAAAAGACAATAATGATAAAAATTATTAGTCTTATAAAAAATCTAAAAAAAGGTAATACAGAATTAATATTGATTTTAGCTAGCCGTATCCTCATATAATTAAACTTGCTTTATGCTTCCTTAGACTAATAAAAAGTTATTTGATACAAATAGTTAGCAACAATAGTGGCATACTATGATTCATGACTATTAATTAATTACTTTAAATTTTATGAATTGGCATAGATAAATTAAAAGACACATTATCTCAATCTCTTAATTGAATAAGATTACAGAAGTATAAATAATATCTACCTACTTTTATAATAGGATAATAAACTGAATAACTGGTTAAATTCGAGCTAAGGATTAGAACCATTTAACTATATAAAAATTGATTAAACTGTTAAAGAAATTTTAGGCAGATCCAATCTCTAATTTGAGCCAAATTCTCTATTTAAACTCCTGTATGAATAACTGTATATTTTTTAAAATTATAACATAGAAGTTGCAAATAAGTCAAATACCATTTCTGTGTTTACAACTTCACATTAAATATCAAGAGCTAAGACTTAATATTACCAGCTTTTCAATGTCAGTTCTGAATGATCCAGAGTATGTAGTCAAAGTTTGTACTTTTCAATTATAGAGGTTTTTTTTACTGGTTATATTACAATAACATAAATGTAATTAAATTACTTGCAACAAAGCTATATTATTCACCAACTACGAATAGGTTATTTTCATCATATTGGAGATCAAATTGAAGAGCGCATAATTAGTTTCAACTCAAGTATCCTGACAAATGATTATATTAAAACTGCTGCACCTTCATATCTAGAGATATTAATTTGTCATTTACCTGATATTTGTATGCCAAGAAATGACTATTTCAGCAGCAAAAGTATAATTGGCAGTGTTGTAGCTTTACCTATATCAAGTAATAAATGAATGAAAACTATGACTCATCTAAAGAAAAGTAGAGATGCTTTGTCAATGCACAGTGACAGAAAAGAGTCAAGCATGAACAATACTGAAAATGATATAGAATCTGGTGAAGATTGTAATAAGTAAGTTAAGTATTTTATTAAACGAAATTTAGCAAATATTTCATTGAAAAAATCAAAGTGATTCTACACCCTCTGATTTTTCTCAAAGAGAAGTTCAAAAAGTATAAAGCCACTCGATTCTATTATTGGAGACTGTTCGTCACATTACCCTTCCTCACTGTGATACCCTCTTTTATCTTAAATTACTCTTTATTATAGAAACAACTAAGTAATATTCTTACTGGAGATGATGATCGAGAAGAATTTTTTGGTTAATTATATGATTGATCAGTCATTTTTTTATTTTTTTCTTTAGAAATAAGCATTATTAAATAATAGGTATATTATAGGCAGGTGTGATGCGAGTATCTGAAAATTTAGTATATAGATAGCAATAGTATTCAGAATGACAAATATATTTGATTTATATTACAGTATAATAGATCACATTGATAATAAAATGCTTACTTTAGTCCTAATAAATGAATCAAGAATAAAGTTCACATTTCTTTATAAACAAGCCTAGATTAGAACCACTGTTTTTATATACTCATTTCTAGTATTGTCATTGGACAGCCTTTGGATATAATCTTGAACATCTTGGACATTTTAGACAAAAAAATAAACTGAATTTACTCAAAATTTTATTAAGATAACCTATTTAAACTTCTTAAGCAAAAATGTTTAAAA